ATTCCTCTATACAGGTCTCTAATGTTCTTGTTCTTACTGTTCATTGCAAGCTCATCAATTTTGTCTTCCAGATATTCCTTTTTTTTTTATTCCTGAAATGCCTGCTGGTTTCATGTCTGCCAGTCTTTCCCTAACCTTTGCCACCACCATGTAGTGGTCAGTATCACAGTCTGCTGTCCTGAATGATCGGACATCAAGTATACTTTAATGCCGTCTCCTATCTATCAAAATATGGTTGATTTGAATGTGCGTCTTCCCATCAGGAGATGTCCAGGTAAATTTATGAATGCTACGATGTGGGAACATTGTACTTTTGACAGTAAGATTTTTTGATGTGGCAAAGTTTACTACTCTATCCCCATTATCATTACTAATTTCATGTAAACTCTCATTTCTAGTAACAACATTTTTATATGGTACATGTAGTACTATATTGTATTATATTCTTTTTGCTACTTCCTAAATATTTTTAATATATTCAAAGTGGGGAGGCTTGTAGTAATTTAATTCAATCTGTCATTAGTTTGTACAAAGCTTCTCTATTTATAATACAAACATCCATAATTTTCCTTTCTATTTATTTTGTTTATAGTATTACTTATTGACAGGTGACCAACTGATTAAAAAATTCAGTAGTGGCAGATTAACTCAAAACATCACATGTTCATACACACTTAGCTTTCATTATAAAATAAGGAAAGCAGGCTAAAAATAATAACAATAATAACGATTAATTTTACTTCCATAGTACATTTGATGAATATTAATATGATTAATACTAAAACAGTAAAATAGATTGCTATAATTTTTCACCTACTTGCCCTTCCACCATGTAGTTTCATTTAGAAAAAGTGCCCAAATCTGGTGCAATCCTGCCATGGCAATTAGTAGTACATCTCTGTCTGATTCTTCAAGAGCGGAAGACTCGGTGATCAGACTGCTTGAAACCAGACAAAGATCCCATGGTGAAGAGATCACCTGTTCTGTCAACTGTGCACCACCGACAACATTCAAACCTTGAGAGCTACTGCCAACAAGTGTCCTCACATGTAATGTCTGCAAGTTGACCTGAAATTGCATCAGATATAGATTTAAGAATCCCGCTCTAAAAATGTTCAAAATGCAAAGGAAAACTAAATCTTTTTCTATAGAATTTTCTTCATCAAAATATATTCATTATAAAAAAAATCCCAATCTAATAAGTCTTGTTACATCAATAATCTCTTTCATTTATTGATATGGCTTTGGATTGTGTGCTCTAAACATGTGGTTAGCATAAGTAATCTCATAACAAAGAAGTAGCTGATATAGAGATCGTGCAATATTTTCAACGTACAACTGTACAAAACAAGGAATGGTATACATGAATATGTTGACTTAGGCCTAGTGCACACATGCAATTTTATTTGGCCGATAGTTGTGCACGTTTCCGAGAAACATCGCGTTTAATGGGATTGCGCACATGTCACGATAGTTGTTCCAACAGTCGGTGAGCAGTTGGGTTCTACCTCAACTGCCCACCGACCCAACTGTTGGTGATAATGCCGGTGTACATGAGCTGTTATGGAAGTGCACACACATACAATTGAAAATCATGCACGATTTGACCCTCAGTCAACAAGTTGTCTTTTCCTGCCTCTCTTCGCGCTCGCTCTAATTCCTCTAGTTGCAACATGTGGGATCAAAGCATCAACAAGCTTATAGAAGAAGTGGAGAAGTGGCCAGCTCTTTATTTAAAATCATGTAAAGAATATTCCGATACTAATCATAAGAAGGAGTTGTGGGAAGAGGTGCGTACTGCTCTGATTGAAAATTGGAATGGTCTGGCCCCTGAAAAAAAAACTGAAGGTAATTATCTGTACTTTAGGTACTTATAGTCTTCATAAATTACATATCTATATAATACTTTAAGACAATAAATTTCTGTTAAATATTTTAATTATATACATATACAGGGGGGGTCCAAAAAATGTACTCACTCTTTGATAGTCAATATCTTTGGAACAAATGATACGTAGTTACAATTCTTGTGCGGTAGTGTAGTGTAATGTTTTCTCAACAGATGGCAAAGGTCACATGAGTCATGTGAGTGTTGTGCCATATGCGCGCTGCAAGCAGAAGACAGCAGCAACAATGGCTGAAAAGGTGTTCTTTGAGCAATGCAAGGCTGTATTGAAGTGGTACTGGAAGTACGAAAACATTAAAGAGGTACAACAATGGCAGAATGAGTTTGGAACTCAGCCATCAACATGTTGAACAACTGCCTGCATTCGGGATAAATTTGAAGATGATGGTATGTTCATGATGTACATAAGCAAAGATCTGGGCGACCATGGATAGTAACAAGTCCAGCTTCCAGTGCTGTGGTGTTGCAACACTTTACATGATCACTGCAAAAATCTGTAAATCTGTGTTTGGAGATGAGAGATTTTACCTACAAGATGGTGCTCCACCTCACTGCCATTGATATGTCAGGGCGTACTTGGACGACACTCTACCTGGACGATGGATAGGTCAAAGAGGTGCTACTGAGTACACACCACAGTCTCCAGACCTAACACCTCTCGACTTCTACCTACGGAGAACCTTGAAGGATGAAGTTTATCGACAAAAGCCAGCTACACTGAACACACTACAAGAAACCATCGACGCGTTGTGTGCAGCCATCACACTGGACACACTGACAGCTGTAGTTCGCTCAGAAGTTCAGCAAAATCGAGGCTGTTTAGCTGCTGATGGTAGTCACTTTGAACACATACAATGACTCTCTCTCTCTGTGCAAGAATTGTAACTACATGTCATTTTGTTCCAAAGATATTGACTATCAAAGAGAGATTACATTTTTTTGGACCCCTCTACATATAGTACAATTATTTCTGTTTATTTGAAAAGTTTTCTCTAATATATTGCTTATACAGTATTTTCAGCATGATCAATTTTTATTTCATTGCCAATTCTTAGTGAATTGTAATGAGTCTAATAACTTACATAAAAAGTGATCGTACCCTTAATGTTATGTAAGAGAAAAATACTATTTTTGTGTGATTTGTGTTTGCAATGGGGTACGTGGTAGTATAGTTGGTTGAGGCACTGTGCTACAAGCCAGAAGGTCTCAGGATCGAATCCCGATGAGGTCATTGGATTTCTTCAATTTACCCAATCCTTCCAGCCGCACTATGGTCCTGTGGTCAACTCAGCCACTAACAGAAATGAGTACCAGGAATATTCTTCAGAAGTTCTTGGCGGTAAAGGGCGGCTGGCACGTAGGGCTGACAACCTTACCGCCATCTATGAGCCGACTGTCTAGAAAATGTGGAAACTTCAACATCTCACAACCCTATGGGCCGCCACGGCCTGTTACAGGGATGCCTTTACTTTATCTGTGCTTGCCATAATAATTCCAGAAATATTAAACTCTAATCTCCAGATTGTATTCTTGTACAAGGTACGAGGTTTCAGAAGAAGTAAAACTTCATCAAAACTATCAACATTCATTCTGTAATAATTGAAAAACTTTGATGGGTATTGTCTCAGTTTGTGGTACAATGTGTAAAATTTTCCTTTTTTAACAGACGTTTGCCATAAATAGTGTGAACCCAATATTCCCACTTCCTCTTTTCCTTAATCTTAACAATAATGCACACACTACTGTTGTATCATACACATTCATGCTGCTACTGACCGACTGATCATTGGCGAAGTTGTGGACAACTCGAAATTGTATGTGTGCGCACATCCCTCAACAGTCGTTGGGCCTTCACGATCATGCACAACTATCTGCCAACTAAAAATTGCATGCGTGCACTAGGTCTTATGTAACACCTATTGGTTTAAAGTGGACTAGAGGCATCCATACATCATGGAATCAAAGTTTTAAACCCAGAAGTCGATTATTTTTGTGTGAATTTTGAAAGTTATGATATACACTGCTTGGACTCTGAGATCAATAGGTATAAAGATGAAACTGTACCTGGGCTCAGTTATGCACAGTGCCATGAATAATACTGTTTACTGTACTACACAGTCCATCAACAATGCAACAGATTGTTCCTTTTTCTTACCCTTTCACTTTCAACACATCATGTTTCGGCCCTAAATGACCATCTTCATGTGTCTTACTATGCTAAAACTGCTACACTGCATTAATATTGTCCTTTGTCACACATGCGACTGCATGCTTCATGATTTAAAACATCATACTTGTAGTCAATTGGTATTCGCTAAAATAGTACACGCTGTAGTTCACTTACTTTATATGAAATAAAACCTATTAAAATTTCCTTTAAATTTTTGTAAAATTCTTATACTCCTCACAAGGGGCATCATCCACTTGTTTTGATCTGTATTCTTGATTTCAGATGTTTTATTGTGGCAGACTGTTCGTCTATTCATAAGCCTTCCACAAGCAACAAGCAAAATTGCAGATGTAACACAACAGGCTTATGAATAGAAAAACAGGCTGCTGCAATAAAACATCTGAAGTAATGGATACAGATCAAAACAAGTGGATGACGCCCCTTGTGAGGTGTAATATGAATTTTACAAAATTTAAAGGAAATTTAATAGACTTTATTTGATTTAAATTAGGCAAACTACAGCATGTGATATTTTAGCATATACCAATTGAATACAATTATGCCATTTTACATCATGAAGCATACAGTTGCATATGTGACAAATGAACAATATTAGTGCAGTGCAGTGCAGCAGTTTTAGCATAGTAAGATACCTGAAGATGGCGATTTACAGCTCAAACATGTCACGTCAAAAGTTAAATTGTTAGAAAGACTGAATAATTTGTTACATTGTTGATGGACTGTGTAGCACAATAAACAGTATTAGATATAGTAATCCAACAGGATGCTTAAATACAGGATTACGATGCCATGAATATAGAAGGGAGAGTGGAGGTAAAGCTCCACACACTTTTTAATCTTAGCACATGACAAATCTGAGTGGTCAGTTTCATGCCCCAGCGGATTAAGGTTCAAGGAAAAGGCTCCCAGGACCCATTAGATTGGAGGTGCTGCCTGAGCAACAGGAACTTATGTACTCATCACTGTACACTCAGAGTATTAAATAACCTTTGTATTACCAAACATTTTAAATTTGTGATTGGATAATTGGATTTAATCTCTCACAACAAATATTTTATTAACTTAAATTACACTTTTGTCAAGTGCTATGTGATTAGGCAGGGGGTTTGGATTGGTATTTATCTTTACTGGACTCCCCCTTGTAGCAGCTGCCAACAATGTGGATTCTGCAGTTCAACGACTTCTGTCCTCACTGGCTGGCAACAGTCTTACATGTCCCCATGGCCAAAACTGCTGGCCACTGACTGCCTCCTTGCCATGCCTGGCCACCACTGGCTAGTACTGACTGAAGGCTGCCTGCACACTGCTCTGGCTTCAAAGTCAAAGTCACATTGTGACTGACAGTCAGTCAGTAAGTCTTGGTGTTGAGCTCTATCTGGGGCTCATCACTAGATATTTATTACTGTTTGACAGTTATGGTCTTGTTTTGTGTGGGGTGCCCTCTCTGAAGAGAAAACGGGTCTGTCATTTGTACATGCTGCTGGCCCTTCCCAGTGCAGTCTTTCTCAGATCCCAGTCCCTTGGGACTTGTGACCATATTTTACTGTCTCAAATTTGAGACTTCCCTTTTCATCGCTTCCTACAACTCACAGGGGCATGGTGGAGGTATTCTACCCCGCCTCCACACGGATTTTCCTACTCTGGCTTGTCCAGCTGGCTTTCTTATATGTATAGGCTTGGCACGAACCAGAAAGAAAACACTGTCTCCTACTGTTCCTCTATTGTTGGTTGGATGTGTATTCATTGCCAAGGAACATGTTTATGGAGCTGTTGCCTAGCAACAGGTGTCTTCTCTGGCTCAGCTAGTGTGGTCTTCTGTGGACATGCTACAATTGTTACCTACTCCATGCAGTTGACACTTTATGGCTGCCCCACTTTTGTGACAGACACTGTTATAACTGTCCCTCTGTAATGATGCCACCTTGCACTACTACTCTTCTTGGTTATTGTTCTCCTTACTCCTTCTGCTCCTCGCTGCTGAATGGGGATGTATTTAGGAAGGCAGGACTGTTCCTGTTTTGGTGCCAGTAAGTGTACAAGTGTAGCTGATAATCGGAATGGTGTTTGCTGAGGTGAGTTATTTCAGTTAGCCAGTATTCTCAGGTATAGGTAGTCTCAGGTCGTTAACATTCCACGCTCTGGCAGAATAGAGAGAAACTTATGCTACTAAGCTTTGCACTAACAAAATCACAATTTCACTCAAGATATTATTTATTGTTCAATTTGGATTACGATGGTGCAATTTTGTTACTTTAACTTTCTTAAAAAACACACTTTAATTTTGTAATTTTTCTTGTATTATTGGTGCCTGCCAGTAACTTTTTTTCCTTTACTTAGTAAACTTGCATAAATTTTAACAATGATCAACTTGTATTAACTTTATGTGATGGAGTGATGTATGTTTGCGATCACAAACTTCAGAAGCTGGAAGACCACTTTCAGTAAAGAGCTTCTTTGAGCCCAAACTTCTAAGAGGAAGTTCCACCCTGAAACAGACCTTACTGGTCTAGTTAAAAATTCTGAAGTCCAACAGAAATTTCCATTACCCAATGATATATATACATATAGATTTGCTGAGTGATTCTAGCCCTTAAAGGTTCAATGGTACTTTTGACAGCAGTACAAACAATGTAGGCTTGGGCTTCTGGCCGTCCCACTTTTAGTGTATAGTTTGTACTAGCTTTCAAATCTCAGATTACCGAAGACATGCTGCTGTAGCTAACACAGCTAGAATTCCAAGAAAAGTAGCAGATGCTACATCCTGTTCACATAGCAAGAATGAGCTTATGTTACTTTCTGAATGTACAAATGTGACTATTTGCTTACTCTCTACTTATGTTATAGTTTGTAATTAATTGATTTAAAAAAAAAATTTATATTAATCCTAATTCTAGTGAATAGTCACACAATAGTCAATAACAAGTCACATATTTGTATTTATGTACTTACTTCCCTGATGGCATGGTTTTCTGTGTCTGCAATATATAACAAACTTGGACTGCGAAATACCACTCCTTGAGGACTTTGAAATCGAGCATCTTGAAAAGTGCCATCTATGAAACCAGGTTCATCTCCCCCAATAACATGCTACAAAGTATAATTTTCATATTTAATTTAATAGCTTGCAGGCAGTTCTACACACAATTTTCAAAAATTGTATTCAGTATACACAGATCAACAGATACTTTAAACAATCTATAAGACCCATTGTGGTCATAAATTTCATATTACCTTTACAAGAAAACATACTACATTACGGCGATAAAATATGTGAAAATCTTGTGATATTTTGAATTGTTTCATTTTGGTCTGTTACACTATCAATCACAAAGTTAACAGAAAGTCCGTCGAGTGTAACAATTTGTAGGTCACTTTTATTATTATTTCTGCCTTACATGTTTCGGTTTGACACAACCATCATCAGAGGCACTTGCTATAATTATGGAAACACTGTCGCTTTTTTTGATGTTCACAATTATGTTTGTCGTGTGGACGCTGCTACGATATGTTGACGTGTAAAAGCACAAAACATGCTAAGATAGTTGAGTGCACTCTCAAGTTCTCACTTTTCATGCGAACCTATTTTAAGTTAAAACGCTAAAATGTTAAAATATTTGATATAAAATGCTGAACTCCTCCTTGTTAATTCATCCCGAAGATGGGAGACGTCAGCTTGAGGTTGTATGGCTTATGGTTTGATATGTTCCTGTGTGCTGTGTGCTGTGTACTGCCCTGTGTACATGTTCCTGTGTGCTGTGTGCTGTGTACTGCCCTGTGTACTGTGTACTGTGTACGCAGTACACAGCACACAGCACACAGGAACATATCAAACCATAAGCTATACAACCTCAAGCTGACGTCTCCCATCTTCGGGATGAATTAATAAGGAGGAGTTCAGCATTTTATATCAAATATTTTAACATTTTAGCGTTTTAACTTAAAATAGGTTCGGATGAAAAGTGAGAACTTGAGGGTGCACTCAACTATCTTAGCATGTTTTGTGCTTTTACACGTCAACATATCGTAGCAGTGTCCACACGACAAACATAATTGTGAACATCAAAAAAAGCGACAGTGTTTCCATAATTATAGCAAGTGCCTCTGATGATGGTTGTGTCAAACCGAAACATGTAAGGCAGAAATAATAATAAAAGTGACCTACAAATTGTTACACTCGACGGACTTTCTATTAACTTTGTCTTGTGATATGTTTGATTTGTTTCATCCTGGTCCATCACACTAACAATATTATAAAAGGTTATTTAATTCTATCCAGTGTGACTGATGAAGTTTTTTCTCCCTTTTAAGATGGTCTATAAGCCTGAAACATGTTAAGAACAAAATATTAAAAAGGGAAGGGGGGAACCCCATCAGTCACACTGGATGGAATTAATTAACCTTTTATAATATTGTGATATGTTCATCACAATAACAACAATAAAATGTTGTATTCCAATTGAGTTCACATACTTCCTAAATGCCTTCTTGGTTATTTTGTACCCTTCATTCATCTTGATGTTCATTTATTTCAGACATAAAACTATTCTTGCAAAGCTAATTGCATTTAAGTTATAAAAATGATCAGTCTGTAAAATATTAACTTTGCAACATTTCACATAAATGTTTTAGAACTCAATGAACACATAGTTTATGTCATGCATTTTTTTGTGAAAATAAAATTACTGAGCTTTATGTTATATAAGCCATAAGTAAATTTGCCCAACAGTTTTTAGTGCAGGTCCCACCACCCAAATACTAAGTGTCATCTAATTTTTTTTTTTAATTTTTCTTAGTGGGGGGGTGGAGTCCAACTGGGTCCACTTGGCATGGTGGCCAATGATTGGTCTACTGTAGCCTGCCCTGGGTATGATGATGGAGAATTTGGTGGAATGAAAATTGGCAGGGGAAACCGAAGTACTCGGAGAAAACCGGCCCCAGGGTCACTTTGTCCACCACAAATCCCACTTGACCAGACCCGGGATCGAACCCGGTCCGCCGCGGTGGGAAGCCAGCGACTAACTATTTGAGCTATGGCGCGGCCAAATGTTATCTAAACCTGTTACTTATTTCTTAGGGTGAAACATATGGATAGGTGGACAAAATCACACTTATTGAGCTTTACAAAAAAATGCTCAAAGATGCTATGATCATATTTTATCTGCAAGAAAGAAGAAAGATATAATAAACAAGAAATGATATGGAAGGACAAGGCGATGATCTAATTTGAGGTAATATCTCAGCATTTGCCAGAACAGACTGAGGGAAACTGCAAACAACCTTAGTCAGGACAGTCGTGTCCTTCTGTAATCTGAATCAACCATCTCCCAAGCAAAAGCTGGGCATGTTATGCCAAGATTCAACTTTCACTGCAGGATGCATGCTCCTCAGGATATACAAACAAGTCTCTCTTTGTTTACAAGCTATGGCCGTCGGGTCACCCCTGGTCCAGAAGTGAACCAAATACTCCTAGCATCCATGACTCATTTTCTTTCCCTCTGCTTCTACATAACCTGATATTTTTTCCCAGTTTTGCTACCCACCTGCTAGACTGCATGGTCTCATTACACTAAGAACTACAACAGTTATGTGTTGTGCATCTGTTCTACTGTCTACTGCTAATCCTTCAGAGATTCTGGTAAACTGTGTCCTATGTCTATTGTATGATTAGGGCAAAAAACAACTACATTTCAGGTACTGTAATGTCAGACAGTGGGTTAATTCCTTAGCTATGAGTGTCCAGATACTCATGATAGTACCTGACTATCTCATCCACCTACAGCTGGAGAACGTCTATGAAGACCGCAAGAAAATGCTTAGCAGACTTGAATGCTTGTTGATCTGAGTTCTCATGTCAGACAGTCTGCCAGAAAAAAAGAAATGGACAACCACTTGGTCCTTCTCACTCTGGCCCTGAACCCCTACCACTAAAATGCAAGTGAAATACAAGCACAGATCCCCGGTATGGAGTCTACATTACGTAATGGAACAACCACGATTGAATGACTCAATATGCCGTAGGTATAATGGAAATATTTTTCTTGTACCTTGTAAGTATAAATACATTTGAGGTATAGAACAGTTGCATATCAATTCCCCTTGACCTCCTTCCTCTGAATCATAGGAAATAAACTCACGGCTCTCATGTGAGTCAATCCTTTGTCAGGCTCTGCATCAGACTGCTTGCAAGAATTTAAAAATTATTTATATTCTGGCAACAGTCACACGATGTAATCTGAGACATGGGTCATCCACACAAAAGACCAGTGTGAACATGATGCCACTAAGTACACTGGATGACAAAAATATATTGCTGTAGTGAAACCGGTCGACGGACGGAAGGAGCGGCATAGGGGCAAGAAGGAAGCTGCAGGGTGACGCAAAAAGCCAAAGGAACCGACCCAAGGAGAGTGTGTATCCTGGAGGAAGTTGGCTGTCGCCTGCAGGAAGGTGTCCCGCCATGCAACAGTGGCATGGTGTAAGAAGAACATCTTCAGGGAAATTCTGACCCACGGAAATTGTGGACTGCGGAAAGAAGTAACCGCATCCAGGAGGAAGATTACCCGCTCTGCAGGACACAGATGTAAGGGACAAAGCAAAGACGATGTCACACGAAGAAGCCCGAAAGGAGGGACATTCAGGAAGAGATTGTGAAAAGGTCCGGAATGCAACACTGGCATAAGGGACTGAGACCTGAGACAGCAACTACAAGGCAGAAATGGAGTGAAGGACCTAGGTGGCGGACAGCCGCAATATCTGAAGAAACCAGACCTGAAGAAGGTAGAAGTGGAAAGCACAGGAAATTTTGACATGAATTTCACAAAAACTAAAACACTGGAGATCGCCAAGCAACTGGATAGATCTATTGTTGGGTTGCAGACAAAAAAGGACTGGACCTTGTGGAGGGGTCAACCCCATCTGAAACGAAAAAAGAAGCATGAAGCAGAGGAAGAGCCGGTAACGTAGAAGCACTGGCCTCCCAAGCAAGAATGAATGGGGGGGGGGGAGGAGGAGAAAAGAAAATTTGGATGCTGGCGATACATCTCGATGTCCTAGCACTTTAGAAGTGAACCGCTCAGGATGAGCTGGCCTTAAGGACGAAGCAGATGTAATGGTTGAAGAATAGTCGCTGCAAGAGGAGTAGCCGAACCACAAGATGCAACAAGCAGAAACCTCAGAAGAAAAGCAACAGTAGTGCACCAACAGGCTATTCGGGATGAACAGCCTTAAGGTGGGAGTAATGTGGCATGTTATATATTGTTCATCGCTGAGCAATAAAACAATGGAAATTGTTGCGACCATTGCGTAGGAATATCTGTAGCAACGAGTGTTCATTGCGTAACAACACTTGGTAAATCCCCTTCCGCTGGGCTGTGAAGTCACGCAACAGGGGAGTCCGTTCAGCACTGTTACAACTGTTACCAGGCAATCAGTAAATACGTTTTCTGTGTGGTCAGGGCGGAAGCTACATATGTATGAGCATTTGCAAGACTATTGCTATCAATATGGATGGGATAATTATACTTTTGCAGATCCAGTTTTCAATTCAAACACTTACTTATATTCCCACAAACAAATACTGGTAAATAAAGAAGCTGTCATCACCTCAATTCTGCCAGACGTTCTGAATACGATAATTCGATGGTGTCCTGTGTCAGAAACTGCCAGTCTTTCCGGGTCTCCATCCTCTTGTGATATGCTGTTGTTATTAACTGCCTCTTCAGGTTTGCTTATGGCTGATGATGTGTCATTATTATTATTAAGTGCTTTGTAATGTGCTCCATCTACACCTTGTATATCAATCCCAATACATGCAACTTTCCCAGGGAAAAACAACAGCCCCTTCAATTCTGGAAGGATATGCACTGCAGGAGCCAATGGTAATGAGTGATCCAGCAGTTGTCCATAATTTTTGTAATAATTTAATGCAGTCTTCACAAACACGAGGATATCATTTTTATGTCCTTCTCCTACTAATATAAACAGCACCTCTCCATTTGGTCCTGTGAACAAGCCATAACACTCTACTAGATCTACTTAATTATTTCACATCCTAAAGTTACTCCACTTTTATATTGAAAAGATAAACAATATGACATACAATACTACAGTCTGTATCATTATTAGCGAAAATATACCTGAAGCAAAATATTTATATGACATAGAATTACTAATACCTAAAGATTGCCAGAAGGAATCTCAAAGTTGCACCCTGTTGTCATACGCTTCATTCTGAACACCAAAATATGATTCATGAGAAATTCATAGGTGACTTTTATGGCCTCTGTTAATTTTAAATTTTACATCGCACAGAATGGTTCATAAGTTATCTCTGTCAAACGGAAGAGTACACATTGATCTCACCCAACATGCTGTATTTTTTCTGAGTACATACAAAAACGTAACCTTTCTGTTTCCTCCTTTCATCCTTACTGTTTTCTGCTTCCTGTTGTGGACCTAACACAGAACACCTAAAATATTACAACATTTACTCTATTCTTTCTGGTGAGTCTGGTAGCTGAGACTTAAAACTATGCTTGAATTTTGTGGTAGAATTTCTGGATGTGGTTTGCATCTTCATTCCAAATATTGTTAAGTTATATGAGTATATTTCTTTTCTTCTGATCTTTAAATTATATAAAAATGTTAATTTCTTACATTATACAAATAAAGGGTACTACAATTTCTTGTCTTCGTTACATTATTGACGAAGAATACTTCCCTCTATTAGATTATATCACTACCATCTTCTTTTGTCAGAGAGCACCTTATATAGAGTACATGCTTATGTGAGATTTTCTCCACTTGAAAAATTCCCTCTGAATTAAATTTTTTTTAAGGTTCACTGTATGGTATATTAGTTATGCTTTATGTTTATTTGCATCAGGGCATACCGTTACTATTTCTTTGAAACAAAATATGTGCATGTAATAATTATTAGCTATGTGTTATGGATTTCACATCCCAGGGTACATGACAATGTTTACTGTGTTTTGTAAAGATCTGTGATAACAGGTTGTTCATTGTAATTCGAATGCAACAGTCTGGGAACTGTTTCACTGCCTATATACTATGATACTGACAAAGCAACTAACAATATCCCATGCAAAGAATAGGCAATTCTATACGTTGCACATAAAAATGCATACTTTTCAAAGATCTATCACCACATAAAATTTCAGGTTCTATACTGAGGTCATGGATGTTATGGGAAGTGTTAATTTGTTCAGTTGGTAGCACGGTGTTCACCTTCTGATAGTTTAGGTTGGCTGTATGTGCAGCCTCCATGTTTTTCTGTATGTTTAAAAGACACTGACATTTGTTCTTCCGCCCACTATGTAGTGATTCGTTCTACTGGAGTCCAGTTTGCTCTAGCAAAGTTTGCTACTGCACGTGTTATATTGTAACTATAACGTAAGTAAGTAAAAGGCAGAAGCCTAACAATACAATCTAATATGTTGGGTTTTTGGACTTTATCCATCGTCCTGGTTTTTAAGATAACAAATAAAAACATGACGTTTCGGAAACTGGATCTGTTTCCGTCCTCAGGTGAAGGAAAACACCTATTCAGTTGGGTCCCTTAGAAAGAGCTAGCCTCAATCACTGGATTGATTGATCGTCCAGTGATTGAGGCTAGCTCTTTCTAAGGGACCCAACTGAATAGGTGTTTTCCTTCACCTGAGGACGGAAACAGATCCAGTTTCCGAAACGTCATGTTTTTATTTGTTATCTTAAAAACCAGGACGATGGATAAAGTCCAAAAACCCAACATATTAGATTGTATTGTTAGGCTTCTGCCTTTTACTTACTTACGTTATAGTTACAATATAACACGTGCAGTAGCAAACTTTGCTAGAGCAAACTGGACTCCAGTAGAACGAATCACTACATAGTGGGCGGAAGAACAAATGTCAGTGTCTTTTAAACATACAGAAAAACATGGAGGCTGCACATACAGCCAACCTAAACTATCAGAAGATGAACACTGTGCTACCAACTGAACAAATTAACACTTCCCATAACAGTTTCTGCTGGTGGTTTCATTGTAGTCTTATTCCTCTTCCTTTGAGAAAGTGCTTTGCATGTAGTTCTTCTCTTTTGGTTTCTTCCCCTCCTGTCACAATAGTGTCTTAAATTGTCAGCCATGTCATATTTTATTATGACCACCATCCACTGACAAATTGTGGCCTCCACGTGACCATGAGTTCGTTGAAGAATACTGCGAAGATTATAATTTTCTTTCGTGTTTTGAGGTGAGCCTCATCCTCCGCTCACTTCTGTGCTGGCCGAATACCGTATAGCGCCACGTCCAATCAGTGGAGCAAGGGCTCCAGATCACGTCCCATCCAAGA